TGAGACATGACTATTGTCCAAACTCCAAAGTGAACCAAACTGCAGAATTACACACTGCTGCATCAACCAAGCTTGTTTTGTGCTACTACAATATGTAGCAGTAACACAAGAAGTGGTGGCTGGCGGCCACAACTAGAGGTTTCCTGCCATTTCCTGAACTACGAGATTTCCGCCAGATGAATTACCTCCTATCCAATTGTTAACAAAAGTGCACGATTAGGCTGCAATATTCCAAAAGTAATAAAAATTTGTTACATTGGAGCCACAAGATTTCAGAAATAAGTATAAAAATTCCAATCCTGTCAGTTAATGTTATCAGCCATCAGTGTGGCGCACAGCTAACGATACTTAGCATTACATATTAACACCTGAATTTTCTATCTGAAGAGATTTTTATATATTTTTATTGGACTGCCAGTTAGCGCCTAGCGGAACTTAATTTAGCTTAAGCTTATTGGTCTGCTATTGGTTTTCAAAGTTAGCTGAAAAACTAATCCGATATGGAAAAAGTTAGCTTCACTAATTAGCAGTTAGCAGATTAGTGGAACTGTGCCCACCACTGGATACATGTGACTGGCACAGACCATCGCCTAAAGGCCCTAAAGGGGATTGCTGATACTCGTAACTAAGCGTCATTCATTTGTTTCCTGGGGCTACTAATAATTTTTTACATTATTTTAGGCCTTACAAGTTAACAACATACTGAATGTAGTAAAACTTGAGACTTGACCTATATTATGGTTCCCAAGTTAAGCCCAGTCTGCCTAGTGACAGTGAGTCTGAGTGAGACACCTACCAAGTGCCAACTGTCGTTTAGATGCACTGAAATATAAAAATATCATTTCACTTATTTTATTACATATATGCACTAACTTGTGAAGTTGTGATTTCATATGCATTCTAGAATCTTCAAACCTGCAATGAAACCGGACTCCAAAAGGTTTTGTTATAGATATGATTAACTTTCATGGAATTTTATATGCTTTTAAATTTCTTATTAAATATCATTTCATTGACCAATGACCATTTTTCATTTTATCAACTCTTTTCATTTAGTATCAAATAAAAGCATTTTGTTGTATTTGTTTGAACCTGAGCTGTTTTAAGACTATATTCAAGTTTATACATGATGAATATGGCATCTAAAATACTAGGCTTGTGTACTAGTACTCATAGTTATACCTGTCTCTTATACACATCTAGATGTGTATAAGAGACAGGTTATGGAGGATAGGATAAAACGTTATAAACTACAGTACACACTGCTTTGAATACACCGTACAGTTGTACAGCATTCACCCTTGTAAATGACAGTATACACAAGTACGAACGACTTTATGTTGTGTTCTGAATGCAGTGTACACTAGCACGAAGGACTGGATGTACGTCGTCAGTTAAGAAGACAGTGAAACTCAATAGTCTATCAGGGCGGATCAATTATTTGTATCGTAATTTTGTAGGTAGCAGAAGTTGGAGGTTCAAGCGATGTGTGTAGTTTGTATTTTCATCGTTGTGCT